AAACAACACAAATGTCACATCAAGATTCTTGGACACTGTAAATAATTTCCTATGTAAACCAGACTTTTGTTGATCAGGATTCAGGAAAGTGTCTTATTTCACTTAGCCGTGCCTTTCATTAACATACTTCTTTAAAAACTTCTTGCCTGCATGAAGTTAGATATTCATTCAAGAATCTGTGATAAATTTCAAAGTTTTCATCACCGCTATTATTTTTTTTAAGCTCCTACCTATAACGTCACCATCTTAAAGCCAAAGAGAAAAGAAGACTAGAAAAATATAAGCCACAAGTAGACAAGAGAACTTAAATCCCACACAAAGAAAAAAAAAAATTAACAGTGGGCTGCATAAAATAGCAGCAGCCATATGCTTTCAACCGTATCTTGCCGCAGAAGGGTTAAAATGCATTCAGAACCAAATGCATTTTTAAATAACCAAGCTGCTCCTGGGCACAAACACATATACTGGCTTGCTGCAAACAAACCGACGTACCTGCAGAGACGCGGGGGCAGTCCGGCAGCATGGACTCCACCGAAGTGTCCAGGGGCTCGGAGCTGGACACCCAGTTGCAGCAGTTCTGTAAGAGCAGGCAGGCAATTTTCAGGTAAGCCGAAAACTCAGGGCAAAAATAAATACAGACTTTGTAAGCAAGGACAACGATCACACCGAAACAGCCAAACTAATTTACACAGCAGTCCCAACAAGGGACTGGATGGTAAACTACACTAGTTTATTCACACTAACTGGTGATGAAATACTGTAGTTTCATTCTAAATAAGCAAAAAGAGTAAGACCACAATTCAGGAGATTTGTAATGTGCTTAAATAGCACAAAATGCTACTTTGAGTGCCAGCGGACTAAAGTAGGTGCTTGGACCAACCGGTGCCTGAATTACCCGCTGCACATTTTAAGCTTTTCCTTTCTGTAGTTGTTAAATAGGCGTTGATATAAATACTGAGGCTGCCCGCTTGCCAACATTAAGAAATCAGAATTTTTCAGGGTGTTTTGATGGAGTACGCTGTGGAAAGGATGGTTGTCAAATCACAAAACAACAGATTATAACTGACTGAAAGCCATCAAGATAGCAGATTAATATTCAAATAATTGGAAATATAGCTGAGACAAATTGGGCATGAACATTTAAAAATGCAAATACTCGCCTTTGGGGAATTATGTTCAGGAAGCGTTTACATTTACCTTTCATTCCTGAACCTCTGAGTAGGATGAATTCACCATGAATTTTTTAAGTGTTTTACTCCAAATGCTATCTATTCAGAGAAGTCTATGAATTAAACAATAATTATTACTTTTAAATTAACAATAATTATTTTTAATAAATTAATTGAATAATTATTATCAGTATTAAATAATACGCTTTTAATAAAATATGCTGAAACTACACCAAATCTACTGAATTGAAGATCTAATTATAAAGCAACTACACTTTTAATAGGATTGCCAGCTGAACTACGAGATCTACATGGCTTCCCTTACTACAAATCTTGAGTTTTCCCTCTCTGAAAACCTGATTAACTTCATTAAGGGGGAAAGAAAAAAAACCTGGCACAACTTTTTGGAAAGACCCAATGAATTTTCAGACAGATTTCTAAAAAATCATCCCATCAATCATGATTGTAAAAATGGCCGATTGCTATTCTGGTAAACAAGCATGTATTGTGTATTTGTAGATGCTTGCTGCCCTAGTTGTGCACCATGGAGTCCGTCCTCACTGTGGAAAGATCCTTGACTGGTAGATCAAGTGTCTTATTGTATTTCCTTAATTCATTCTGTCTGGAAGAAGATGTCAGCTGTGTTGCAGTGAGGAGAGAATTTCAAAGGCTTCAGTCCCCACCAATAAAGGGCGAGGAATGGCTTTTGAATAGATTTGTCAAGGCAACCCTACTGTTCTGGGACCAGGGAGAGCAGGAGCAACATAAAGGAAGGGTTGCTGTATGAGATTAGAAAGTGAAGTTCACAAAGCATGGCAGATTTTTGTAAGAAACAGTAGATCAATGAAACTATTGAACTTGATGGAAAAAAAAAAAGAAAACAAACACACTACCCAGTAATGTAACTTTTTCAGTAAAAAATGGTTAAAATGGAAGTATTTCACAAAGGCTTTAAGATTTAAAGTAGTAAAGCATTATACATTTTACAATTTGCATGTATAATTTTAATTAACAGCTGAATGTGAAATTGCAAATGTAAGATGGTAGAAATTATAAAAGAAGTAGAATTTTTATGAAGTATTACATTCATTTGAAATAAGTAAAATTAATATTAACTACTGATAGAACACTACATCAGAGAGCTGGAGATAATACAGAAGATTAGCACACAATTAACCAGCTTTTATATACAATGTGACACTTGCCTGTAAGAAATAAGTATTCTCGAAAGCAGTGTCAAGATATGTAAATGGATGATTTGTTTTATCATTCATCACAGCTCCTAATAAATTCAAAAATCATGACTTCTATAGGTACTAAAAATAGGCCACCAATGATACAGGAGAGTTAGCTCCAATGAAGAATTACTTTTTTAACAATTCATTCTTTCAATGACAGCAATTAGCCCTACAGACAGGCAGCGATTAGGTGTATATTTTAATTATTATTCATTTTACCAGTAGCCTTAAACCTGATTAAAGTAAGAGATATCCAGGTGATATACTAGTCTTAATACCACTCAGCCACACTTCACATATGTAAAATACTTCTTTCTTATAGGAGATTTTCAATGCTAATGTAAGTTATGACACTCCATCCACTTTTTAGGCCATTAATCATTTAACTTATTCTTTAAGATCTACTTTCTGCAAATGAAATTAAAGGTAATGCACTTGTCTTATTCAGACTAAATGCTTAAAGAAAAATGGAGTTGTCAGATTCAAATTACAGGATTTAAAATTTCAGTTTTACTACATAACATATATTTTAAGGTTTTGATTTCCCATAAAGAAAATGGGGATTTTTCTGACAGAGCCTGTAGGGGTTACCATTCTTTATATTTTTAACATTTAAGTCAGAGCTGTCAGACTGCATCCCAGGTGATTCTCTATTCCCATCAGTCACGGCTTATAAAACTGTAAGGTTAAGTCGGGAATAGGCAGTCTATACACAAAGTTTCACTAAATCCAGAAGAAAAAGTCAAGTCTAACAAAAAGTTCAGGACGCAACTAGCTTAAAGTTGCCACATGCACCTATTGTTTTAGCGTTCTGCAACGGGAACGTAGCAAACATGGACATGAGCCTGATCTGGCGAAGAAGACACATAAACGGAAGTTTTGTTGGTCTCACTTTAAAAAACATGATTTTTAAAATCTCAGCGACCCCATACTTAAGTATTAATTGAATAACGAATGCATGGGATCATCCTTCACCCAAGGGTGGAACTTGGTGCTTGCTGGCCATGAACCAACACCAGACCATCTTGGACCAACTAGCTGTTGGTAGGTTGTACAGTAGCAAAAACTCCGACTTTTCATCAGAAAACCTCAGAGCACTTCAGAAGTAATTACATCTCATAAAACTGCTGAGAGAAACGATTTTTTGCCAGTTGTGCAAATCATCAAACTGAGTCATGAAGAGCTTAAAGGGGCTTTTCCACCACCGCCAGATCAAGCCAGGAGCGCTGGGTGCGCCCAGAACTTTGTTCCAGATATCCGGCAGTGTGTGGGCTGACTTGGTATATCTGTCTATATTGCTGAGCAGCAGGAAGAAACACTGAACTTGATTCTTATTATTTTGACTGCTATCTTTGAAGTTCAGAAATGGCTTTAATCTGGGTTATTTTAGGGGCTGGTATCGGCACACAATTTCCCCGGTCCTGTAACGTGCTGTCTTTCATACCCTAAAGAAATGGAAGAGGTCAGCAGACAAAGACATGTTTATAGAGCCATATACAGATGTACATACTGCAACTCTTTAAAAAAGCCGGCCTCACCTCTCGCATCCACTCTCGAATAGTTTTCCCAACTTCTTGATGCCACACATTGTGAACAGAGTCTGTCAACGCCACAGCAGTTACCTTATTCTTTACTTCTGCCTCTCGTTGAATCATCTGTTAAAAAATATTGGCTTTAAGTTCTTTCTTTCTGTTGAATAGAGTCTGCTTAGTCACAGATAATGATCTTAAATTAAAAAAGAAAGAGCAATACAAGTTCAATACTTCACTTCACTTGTTTTAAAGTTTATACAAATCCTAACAGCTCCAGAAACACAGAAAGACCTAATATTTTTGATAAAAGAAATAATACTAACTTTTAACTGACTGAACTATTCAGTCCTATTATTTTCCATGTGGCTTGACAATTCTAGGATTAAAGGTATCATAGTGAAAAAATGGAAGATTCCCTGAGGACACCTTTTACAAGCTTCTCCAAGTTCCTATTTCTGTGCTTCAGGGAAGCTGGTACCCGTGGTTCACTGTAAGCTACTCATGACTATCATCTACTAATTTTCAGTAGATTGCTGTAGTTTTTCTGATGTACAATCTTACTTTGACTTGTATGGGTTTTTTTCTTTTCTATCCAATTTAGCTACCTTGCACTCCCACCATGGTCCCAAAATTCTTTGTGGTCTCTCTTATCATATGCTCACCCAGCTAACACTGGAGCCTCTCAACATTTTTAGGATATTAAAGAGCCTCTGTTGTTGCAGATGACAGTATGACTAAATAATATTAGTTCTAAAACCAATTAAATGATTGCTGCAAATAACACGAGCGAATCGACAAAGGTGCTGTGGAATTCAGCACTGCTCTGCAAGATAAAAGGGACTGGGAAAGAATAGTTTGATATCAAAGAGAGACAAAAAGGTTTTAATCTCCTGACACGAGTGACCCTAATTTGTAACACTGGATCAAAGAAAGTATAATGAATTATACTTATAAAACCAGCATTTCGCAACTAGTGTCTTTATCACCCTGTACGCCGCACTAAAGTTAATGTTTTTTTTCAGCTTCCTTTTGTATAAATGGCAACATACACAACATTTCCAAAACCAGGCATTCTTTGTTCATGCTCTGGTAACTGCGTATCAGCATACAGGCTGCACCTCCAAAAACTCTGCTCTGAAAGGGAATTTTACAATGGGGATGTGAATTATGCTTTGCGTCAGAGACTTCAAAATAAACACCTCGATCCAGATTTGTGATACAAAAGTAGCATTTATCCATACCTTATGCAAACTACCTCCTAGTTTCTTCAGAATATTACACGTGTAAACCCTTTTGACCAAACACTCTTATTTCCAGTTCTCCATAACTGCAGTATGATATTCTGAATTATCGCGTCTTGCCCTTTTTTTTTGTTTACAATATGTATACTTCAAAATCAGTGTAATTGAAGTAATATTCTAAGAGAAAAATATTCACCACTATTGGCCAGGTAATGCCAACGCAGAGCAGAGCTCCCCGTTACAGGTAAAATCAGGTGCCCACCTTCCCCAGTACTCTGTCTTTGGTAATGTCAGTATTACATGACTCAGGAATTCAGCTGAGCTTAGAACATCTTGGGCAAGTGCGTACGAAGAAACTCTTAAAAGTAATCTTTCTTCATGTGAAACCTTTCCATACATACCGTTTTTTTCATCATTTACCCTCCTGTGGGGCACATTTAATATCTAGAATTTTTGGAGGATGCGACATAACAGGTATGTGCGTGGGGGACAAAATCACACATTTAGGACAAAATAGCATCTATTGTAAGAGGGTGAGCTTCTTTCGGCTGTAACACGATACTGACATTTTCAGCCAAACACCCGATACTGAGCACTAAATTTCACTGTAAATACGAAGATGGCAAAACTCCCTCCGTTATGAAACTGTATGTAAGAACAGTGAATCCCTCAGGACGATCTTCAGGCCACTGCAGGAACCACCAGTGATTCTGCTAAGCTGGGGATGAAACACCTGAGCTCCAGAGGAAGGTGGAGCATCAAAACAAAGGTTTTTATTGACGTTACAATCCCCCTCCCCAAACCTGTATGGACATCTCAAGCACCGACAAGTGCTTTGTCTCTCAAAGGGCTGAGTCACTCAGACCTTCGACCAGCTTGGTTAAAAAAGGACTCATTATGAATATCTCATCTGCAATATTCTGTTCTTCACTCTCCTCTCCTCTCCAAGTTCTTTACAATTACACAGGCCCCAAATGTGGTTCACATCTGCCAAACAACTGAAAATATTGGTTTTTAGACTGCAGCTTTACTGTCCCCTTTATCAGGCAAGGCTATGTGCATGAGACGATCACCAAAGAGATGACCCTTTGATTGCAGGGGAAAGCCAGGGTGCTTTTGGGAGGGCCGTGGCTAGTCCTTTCTCTTACCAGCCGTGACAATGACCCAACTGCTTTACCTTTACATAACAGGTAAGGTATGTTCCTGTTACGTAGGAACATCACCCTCCTTCTCTAAACAGGACAGCATCTGCAGAAAGACCTTCTGCTGAAGGCACTGCCAGGTTGTCAGGAGCTTGTGTTCCCAGGCTTCTCCTAAACCCAGCACCACATGCAGCGTGGTTAGGGGACTGGACCCTCCGTTCCACATAAAAGCCAGAAGAGTGGTTCAGAAATCCTACCAGAAAAAAAGTTCTCTGAAAGAGACGGTATCTAAAAACAAGACCTGTAAGCCACACACCCCCAGCTCGCACTAAATCTGCTGTATATTGGATAAGTTTTAGAAACATGCCATACGTACTAATATCCCTGTACTAGTGCTATGCATTCCAGCACGCATTTGGCTGCACCGCCTTGCACAAAATGCTGTCATTTAAACGGGCAAAGGAGCAAAAATATCATTGTCCTTGAAGCGCACGTACCTAGCAATTACTTGGAGTTATTACATGCTGGGGGAAGCTTAAAATCGTCACCAGCTCATTGTGTTCCAGCATGACTTCCTCCATGAAGGGCTGGTCTTCAGAAGCACTGCTAATGACCAGCAAGGGGAAAAAAATATGCTCTGCTGTGGAAAAGCAGTCTTTTCTCAAGCTATTGTGTCCCACATTTCTGTTTCAAAAACTAGCCACCCAGTTCATCTAGGAACATCACCTTTTCCTTCAAATCACAAGGAAATACAGATGTGCAGTTCCCTTCTCCCTTTTTAGACCTCAGTCAGGTTTGCTATTCTCAGTTTCCCTACGCACATGGAAGAACTGGCAGCCATCGATCACCATCTCTTCCTACTCCTTCTCCACATGGTACACACAGTCTTTGCTTTTCGGATCACATGTGACATGGGGAATAACATGCAATACCCAACATGCTGCTGGTGCTTGCTGCTCAGCTTTGTGAACGCCTGCAGAATGGTATTCTCTTCACAAAGATCAGCAAAGAGACCGAGGCTGACAATGTGAGCTTTTTTGATAACAACTCAGCCACAGTGCTGGGGTCAGGAGAAGGGCTCATGGATATAGCAGCAAAGAGGGATCGAAGGGATTAACTGAGCTTCAGTTACAGATCTCTCCACGTCCAGTCCAGAAGAAATAAGTTTTGGTAGGCACCCATGCCCTCATGAGCCAACTTGGAAAGAAAATAGACAAAACCAATACATGAAGTGGAGAAAGGATCAAGGCTATAACCTTCACTTAAACAAGAAGTCTAACGCATCCCTCTTTAAGTGACACAGAAATGTCACAACAGAGCATGTCAAAGCCAGGACACTGAGCTTCTACCACAACAGCTCAAGTTCTCTGCTACAACAGGACATTAACTGATAATAATAACCAAGGAGAACAGACCCAAGCGACCCCATACTTAAGTATTAATTGAATAACGAATGCATGGGATCATCCTTCACCCAAGGGTGGAACTTGGTGCTTGCTGGCCATGAACCAACACCAGACCATCTTGGACCAACTAGCTGTTGGTAGGTTGTACAGTAGCAAAAACTCCGACTTTTCATCAGAAAACCTCAGAGCACTTCAGAAGTAATTACATCTCATAAAACTGCTGAGAGAAACGATTTTTTGCCAGTTGTGCAAATCATCAAACTGAGTCATGAAGAGCTTAAAGGGGCTTTTCCACCACCGCCAGATCAAGCCAGGAGCGCTGGGTGCGCCCAGAACTTTGTTCCAGATATCCGGCAGTGTGTGGGCTGACTTGGTATATCTGTCTATATTGCTGAGCAGCAGGAAGAAACACTGAACTTGATTCTTATTATTTTGACTGCTATCTTTGAAGTTCAGAAATGGCTTTAATCTGGGTTATTTTAGGGGCTGGTATCGGCACACAATTTCCCCGGTCCTGTAACGTGCTGTCTTTCATACCCTAAAGAAATGGAAGAGGTCAGCAGACAAAGACATGTTTATAGAGCCATATACAGATGTACATACTGCAACTCTTTAAAAAAGCCGGCCTCACCTCTCGCATCCACTCTCGAATAGTTTTCCCAACTTCTTGATGCCACACATTGTGAACAGAGTCTGTCAACGCCACAGCAGTTACCTTATTCTTTACTTCTGCCTCTCGTTGAATCATCTGTTAAAAAATATTGGCTTTAAGTTCTTTCTTTCTGTTGAATAGAGTCTGCTTAGTCACAGATAATGATCTTAAATTAAAAAAGAAAGAGCAATACAAGTTCAATACTTCACTTCACTTGTTTTAAAGTTTATACAAATCCTAACAGCTCCAGAAACACAGAAAGACCTAATATTTTTGATAAAAGAAATAATACTAACTTTTAACTGACTGAACTATTCAGTCCTATTATTTTCCATGTGGCTTGACAATTCTAGGATTAAAGGTATCATAGTGAAAAAATGGAAGATTCCCTGAGGACACCTTTTACAAGCTTCTCCAAGTTCCTATTTCTGTGCTTCAGGGAAGCTGGTACCCGTGGTTCACTGTAAGCTACTCATGACTATCATCTACTAATTTTCAGTAGATTGCTGTAGTTTTTCTGATGTACAATCTTACTTTGACTTGTATGGGTTTTTTTCTTTTCTATCCAATTTAGCTACCTTGCACTCCCACCATGGTCCCAAAATTCTTTGTGGTCTCTCTTATCATATGCTCACCCAGCTAACACTGGAGCCTCTCAACATTTTTAGGATATTAAAGAGCCTCTGTTGTTGCAGATGACAGTATGACTAAATAATATTAGTTCTAAAACCAATTAAATGATTGCTGCAAATAACACGAGCGAATCGACAAAGGTGCTGTGGAATTCAGCACTGCTCTGCAAGATAAAAGGGACTGGGAAAGAATAGTTTGATATCAAAGAGAGACAAAAAGGTTTTAATCTCCTGACACGAGTGACCCTAATTTGTAACACTGGATCAAAGAAAGTATAATGAATTATACTTATAAAACCAGCATTTCGCAACTAGTGTCTTTATCACCCTGTACGCCGCACTAAAGTTAATGTTTTTTTTCAGCTTCCTTTTGTATAAATGGCAACATACACAACATTTCCAAAACCAGGCATTCTTTGTTCATGCTCTGGTAACTGCGTATCAGCATACAGGCTGCACCTCCAAAAACTCTGCTCTGAAAGGGAATTTTACAATGGGGACGTGAATTACGTTTTGCGTCAGAGACTTCAAAATAAACACCTCGATCCAGATTTGTGATACAAAAGTAGCATTTATCCATACCTTATGCAAACTACCTCCTAGTTTCTTCAAAATATTACACGTGTAAACCCTTTTGACCAAACACTCTTATTTCCAGTTCTCCATAACTGCAGTATGATATTCTGAATTATCGCATCTTGCCCTTTTTTTTGTTTACAATATGTATACTTCAAAATCAGTGTAATTGAAGTAATATTCTAAGAGAAAAATATTCACCACTATTGGCCAGGTAATGCCAACGCAGAGCAGAGCTCCCCGTTACAGGTAAAATCAGGTGCCCACCTTCCCCAGTACTCTGTCTTTGGTAATGTCAGTATTACATGACTCAGGAATTCAGCTGAGCTTAGAACATCTTGGGCAAGTGCGTACGAAGAAACTCTTAAAAGTAATCTTTCTTCATGTGAAACCTTTCCATACATACCGTTTTTTTCATCATTTACCCTCCTGTGGGGCACATTTAATATCTAGAATTTTTGGAGGATGCGACATAACAGGTATGTGCGTGGGGGACAAAATCACACATTTAGGACAAAATAGCATCTATTGTAAGAGGGTGAGCTTCTTTCGGCTGTAACACGATACTGACATTTTCAGCCAAACACCCGATACTGAGCACTAAATTTCACTGTAAATACGAAGATGGCAAAACTCCCTCCGTTATGAAACTGTATGTAAGAACAGTGAATCCCTCAGGACGATCTTCAGGCCACTGCAGGAACCACCAGTGATTCTGCTAAGCTGGGGATGAAACACCTGAGCTCCAGAGGAAGGTGGAGCATCAAAACAAAGGTTTTTATTGACGTTACAATCCCCCTCCCCAAACCTGTATGGACATCTCAAGCACCGACAAGTGCTTTGTCTCTCAAAGGGCTGAAAAAAAAAGGACTCATTATGAATATCTCATCTGCAATATTCTGTTCTTCACTCTCCTCTCCTCTCCAAGTTCTTTACAATTACACAGGCCCCAAATGTGGTTCACATCTGCCAAACAACTGAAAATATTGGTTTTTAGACTGCAGCTTTACTGTCCCCTTTATCAGGCAGGGCTATGTGCATGAGACGATCACCGAAGAGATGACCCTTTGATTGCAGGGGAAAGCCAGGGTGCTTTTGGGAGGGCCGTGGCTAGTCCTTTCTCTTACCAGCCGTGACAATGACCCAACTGCTTTACCTTTACATAACAGGTAAGGTATGTTCCTGTTACGTAGGAACATCACCCTCCTTCTCTAAACAGGACAGCATCTGCAGAAAGACCTTCTGCTGAAGGCACTGCCAGGTTGTCAGGAGCTTGTGTTCCCAGGCTTCTCCTAAACCCAGCACCACATGCAGCGTGGTTAGGGGACTGGACCCTCCGTTCCACATAAAAGCCAGAAGAGTGGTTCAGAAATCCTACCAGAAAAAAAGTTCTCTGAAAGAGACGGTATCTAAAAACAAGACCTGTAAGCCACACACCCCCAGCTCGCACTAAATCTGCTGTATATTGGATAAGTTTTAGAAACATGCCATACGTACTAATATCCCTGTACTAGTGCTATGCATTCCAGCACGCATTTGGCTGCACCGCCTTGCACAAAATGCTGTCATTTAAACGGGCAAAGGAGCAAAAATATCATTGTCCTTGAAGCGCACGTACCTAGCAATTACTTGGAGTTATTACATGCTGGGGGAAGCTTAAAATCGTCACCAGCTCATTGTGTTCCAGCATGACTTCCTCCATGAAGGGCTGGTCTTCAGAAGCACTGCTAATGACCAGCAAGGGGAAAAAAATATGCTCTGCTGTGGAAAAGCAGTCTTTTCTCAAGCTATTGTGTCCCACATTTCTGTTTCAAAAACTAGCCACCCAGTTCATCTAGGAACATCACCTTTTCCTTCAAATCACAAGGAAATACAGATGTGCAGTTCCCTTCTCCCTTTTTAGACCTCAGTCAGGTTTGCTATTCTCAGTTTCCCTACGCACATGGAAGAACTGGCAGCCATCGATCACCATCTCTTCCTACTCCTTCTCCACATGGTACACACAGTCTTTGCTTTTCGGATCACATGTGACATGGGGAATAACATGCAATACCCAACATGCTGCTGGTGCTTGCTGCTCAGCTTTGTGAACGCCTGCAGAATGGTATTCTCTTCACAAAGATCAGCAAAGAGACCGAGGCTGACAATGTGAGCTTTTTTGATAACAACTCAGCCACAGTGCTGGGGTCAGGAGAAGGGCTCATGGATATAGCAGCAAAGAGGGATCGAAGGGATTAACTGAGCTTCAGTTACAGATCTCTCCACGTCCAGTCCAGAAGAAATAAGTTTTGGTAGGCACCCATGCCCTTATGAGCCAACTTGGAAAGAAAACAGACAAAAACAATACATGAAGTGGAGAAAGGATCAAGGCTATAACCTTCACTTAAACAAGAAGTCTAACGTATCCCTCTTTAAGTGACACAGAAATGTCACAACAGAGCATGTCAAAGCCAGGACACTGAGCTTCTACCACAACAGCTCAAGTTCTCTGCTACAACAGGACTTTAACTGATAATAATAACCAAGAAGAACAGACCCAAGCAGCAGACTCTCTTATCAGGGATGACAATTTATCCTGCAAGAAGATGCAAGAAGCCTATGTGATTTTGGCCACAGAAGCTTCAATACTCAGTAAATGCTTCAGATTCAATGGATTGATAGCTCACAGTTAAAACATATTTATCTTTTCTAAAAATAGTTTTGAATTCACACAAATTTTAAAAATTAAGTGAGCAGAATAAAATCGTTAGAGTAAAATATATATATATTTTATATACATATATGAATATCTAAATATATATAGATATATTCAACACAAATGTAGCACCCAGCTGCCATTCAAATTTGATACAACTACAGAGTTGTACCAAATTCCAAGGGAAGGATGCTATGGGATGCATGATTTACACTTCCCAGGACTAGTTTTATTCCATGCGGCCAGTACAGTCTTTTAAAGTGGACATGCTAAAAATGGAAGATATTTAATAGACCACAGACTATTTACAATACTACAAATTATGGTTTTTTTTTTCAGGATAATGGTGTTTTTTACTAAAGCAACAACTGCAGACAAAGACCTAAGGATTTCGTCTAAAGTTCATTTTATGCCTTATGCTCTTTGTACATCAGTAAATTCCATAGACAGGAAGTTTTCACAGCCTGGGAATTAC